CTATCTTTCGAAACACAGCAAAACCCCAAACCTCCGGAGATTTCAGCTCTGTGTAATTCACAGGAAACCATTAGTTTACAGTGGCAGAGAACATGCAGGGAGCAAAGAAAGAATGAGCTGGAGGGAGGGAACAATTGGGAAGTGAGATTATCATGAGGGAAGGAAATAGCACAGGCTGCTCAGAATGGGACCAGCCATCACATATGAAATCTTTGTGGCTCTTGGAAAGCTTTGTCCAATTCGAAACAGAGATCAGATTCTAAAGAGAGAGCTGGGATGCAGAAGGGAAAAGAGGGGCAAAGGGTCACAGACAAGGCTCCTTTGAGACATTGCCAAATCCTCCGTATATTCAAGACAAGGTAAGGAGAAGCTTATCACAGCTTTGGGAAAGGTTCAGCAAAGAACAGTGCAGGAACTAGTTGAGACTGGGTTTCAGGACTAGACTTCTGAAAGCCAAGAGCTAAGTCCAAGTACACAGGAGGCCACACAGGCAGACATTGCCCCCACCCCCACGGAAAGGATGAGATTCAAAAGGCTGCAATCCAACATCTCTGCTAAAACATAGAGGGGTGGGGTGTCTTCCAAGCTTCGTGGACATGAGAAGAGAAGCAGTGTACTGTGTCTGGAAAAGCCCAACCTGTGAGGTGAGCTCTTCCTGGCCTCTGGGATTCTAGGAGGGCAGGGCAGCCTCTGCAGAGATAGGATGAGGCTGGAGCAGGCTTCAAGGGAGTTCATGTAGAATGCATGGAATTTTGCCCATTCCAGTGTTGGGCGTGAAAGAGTAAGATAAAGAAAGCATACTCCCTTCTCTGCCGCTAAAGAGTTAGATTACCTTGGGAAAGTCACTTAGTCTTTCCACCGTCGAAGTAAGACTCATTAGGATACTCCATGGAATATTTCTACATGAATTTCCAGGGCTATGATTCTGCTATCTATTTTGTACTACAACTTCAGCAGTTGAAAAATGGATCGAAGGATAGGGCATGCCACAGAGACTTGATCTGATTTAACAATAGAAAGTCCCTATAAAAATGCCTGCTACTTAATTTTTTACCTATTACTAGAATTCCTTTCCTTGCTTATTACCATCACTTTCATCCAAATCCTTATTACCTCACCTTTGGATGACTTTAATAGTCTACATACCATTTTCCCTATTTGCAGGGTCTCTTTCACATGACTCCAACCTCTACATGACTACAAAGTAGTGATTCTTAAAGGCCAATGAACCCTCTAAAATTCCATGCATGGGCATGCAAGATTTGGGGAATGCTCTGAAAGCACAAAAAATAATATTTGCATATTTCTGGAAAGAGCCCTTGAGCTTTCCTTAAAATTTCAAAATGATAAAAAATAATCTTGGACTACTTAACTTGGCCCATACTTCTAAATCACCTCACTCATCCCCTGAATTCTTCAGATTAGAAAAATATTTTTCCCAGTTCATTTACTTTCCTAGTCATTTAAAAACCTTTTTTTTTTTTTTACTTTTCTCTCACTCCAGCATCTCTTCACTTATCCTTACTCTCAGCTATTTCCCTGAGAAAATAGATTCAATCAAAAAAGGCATTCCATAAGCTTCTACTGCCGCATCCATCCGTTCATCATCTTTGATCCAAACACTTTGCGTGTTACTTTGCTTGAACAGTACTTGTGCCATGCAAATGTCAAGCCCTTTCCTGGGGTATCACCCATCTCCTCTTTCTTGTCAGACATCACTCAAGCAAAATCTCCCTTCACCTGTAGCATCACCAGAATCCCCCTCGTTGGATCTTTCCCTTCAGCATACTAACATGCCTTTGATATTTCTCCCACATAAAAACAAATTAACTGACATCTCTTTTCCCCAGCAAGTCCCTCCCCTTTTCTTTGCTCTCCTATGCAGGGAAATACGTTGAAGTGTTACAATACTCACAGTATAGACACTTCCTCCCTATTCTCTTGGGTCCATTCCTACCCAGCTTTCACCTACATCACTGCACTAATACTATTACAGTGAAAGTCACTGATGACAATGACTTCCCATCTCATTCAAAATAAAAGCCAAAGTTTTGCTGTGACCTACAATGTTCTGTGTGGCCTGGTCCTCATAACCTCTCTGATATTCTTCTTACGTGGTGTCCTAATCATTTTCCACTTCAGCCAAATCGGCCTCCTCTCTGTTCCTCTTCTCTGATGCAAAAGTTCCACCCTGGGGCTTTTGCATCAGCAACTCCTTCTGTCTAGAATGCTCTTCCCAAAGAGAATCACAACTGATTTCCTCACTTCTGTCAGGGCTTTTCTTAAATTCACCTTCTTGTGAGGCCTTCTCAGAGAACCCCAATCAAAATTTCAAACTTCTTTTTGAACACTTCATATCCTCTTTCTCTGCATTAATTTTTCTCCTTAGCATTTGGCACTTTGTAACATAATATGAATTTTTATTTAACTTATTTGTTGATCATCTGTTTCCCTCAATAGAATGTTTCCCTCTGTGGGGGTAGGAATTTTTGTCTGTTTTCTTCACAGATATAGCATCAGAACCTAGAACAGTGCTTGGCACATCGTAGGTTCCTTATAAATACTTGTTTAAGAAATCCATACATGAGTCTTATTTTACATGGCAGCAGCATATAAGTCTGTTAACGATGCCTTCTTCCTCAAAGGACTTTCTCCACTTGTTTTCCAGAACTACATACTTTCCTATTTTTCTCTTGTGATTTCACTAGCTGCTTCTTTCAGTCCTTTTTATCCCATTTGTTCCTCGACGTCTCAACCTATTAATGTTGGAGTGCCTCAGTGTTCTGTGTTGAATTGTATCCCCCCACCCAAATTCATATGTTGAAGTTCTAACTCGCAGGAATGTGATCTGATTTGGAGATAGGGTTTTTGCAGAGGTAATCAAGTTAAAATGAGGTCATTAACATGAGTCTTAATCCAATATGACGCGTGTTTTTATAAAAAGTGGAAATTTGGAGACATGCACATACACACAGGGAGAACACCATGTGAAGATCAAGACGAATATTGAAGTCATGTTTCTACAAGCCAAAGATTGCCAGCAAAGATTGCCAGAAGCCAGGGAGAGGTATGGACCAGATTTTCCATCCCAGTGCTCAGAAGGAACCAACCCTGCAGACACCTTGATTCGGACTTCTGCCTCCAGAACCATGAGACAGTAAATGTCCATCGTATAAGCCCTCCAGTGTGTGGTACTGTGTTATGGCAGCCCAAGTAAACGAACACACCTAGGGATCATGGGTTGAAATTCTTATTAAGCTACCTTCAGGCCCTTGGTGATCTCGTTGATTTGTGCTTTTAAATCCCCTCTATGTTCCAAAGTCTCCCAATTGTTTATCTCCAGCCCAGCGGCTGCGAAGTCCTCATGCATATCTCCAACTGTACGTAACATCAGCTTTAACATGTCCCAAACTAAACTCATCTTCCCCTGGAACCTCCTTTCTCCCACAGTCTTCTTCATCTCAGTTAAAAGCAACTCCTCTTTCAAGGTGCTCAGGTGATTTACCTTGCAATCATTCAAGACTTTTCTCTTTCATATCTTTAGTCTGTCAGCAGAAATGTGATTCTACTTTCAAGACATATTCAGACTGCACTTCTCCCCCACCGCACTGCTTGCACCCTGGTCGCCACCACGATCTTTCACCTGACTTATAGCAGCAACCTCCTTATTTGTCTCCCTGCTTTCACTCTTTACTTCCCTCATCCTGTTCCCAGTTGAGCAGCCAGAATGGTCCTGTTAAAATGCAGTTCAGACAATATCACTCTATTGCTCAAAACTCTGCAACTTCTCATCTCACAGCTCATGCCCTTACAGTGGCTATGAGCCCCGACAAGGTCCAGTCCTTGGTAACCTCTTTGACTTCATCTCCTACTCAGCCCTCATCCAGCTCATATTGCTTTGGCCATACCGGTCCATGCTGTCTAGATATGTCAGGACTGTTCCCTGGCTTGCACTTGCTGTTCCCTCTGCCCAGAACACTCAACTCTCAGATATCTACATTGCACTTCAGAGTCATTCAATGAAAATTTCTTGAAGGAATAGGTCATTGAAAATATTTACATTAATAAGATAAAATGAAAAATATTTAGGTTCACATTCAAATTGCACTGCACTTATGCCCCATTTGATCTTTATTAGCTCCTTATGTGTAAATAACATCTAGAAGTCTTCTAGTTGATACAATTAGTCCAATTCACTTCAACTTGTGTAAACACTTTCCAATTACTGCTAGTGCTAGACTGATCTCTTCTTATATAGCCATTTGTTCTAGTTGTGGCAAATGAAACTGAGCAAAGCTTTGCCTTGTGATGATAATGATTCCTCATTAATGGTTAGAGTCTGTCTGACTCTTTGTAATTTCTTTAAACATTTTTGGTGGAAATTTAAGACCCATAGCCTGAGATTTAAAAAAATCCTCACATAAATTTATTTTTTCCCTTATTTTATATTAATAGAACTCCAGTTTTTACTTGGGCACATAGCCATCCAGAAAAAAAAATACATTTTCCAGGCTGTTTTGCAAATGACTGTGGCCTTAGAACTATGTTCTAGTCAAGGGGATGTTGGTGTAAGATATCAGTTAAAAGAAAACCAATACGTACTCTTTGCTCCCTTTTCCTCCATATCCCTTCCTCCATCCTACTGCCTGGAATGTAGATACAGTGGCTGGAATTCTAGCTGCAATTTTAGATTATGAGGAGAAGGCCCACATCCAGGAGATGAGGCGTAAGCTGGAAGGAGTTTAGATTACTGATGGCTTCATGGAACACAACCATTGTACCAACTCTTGACATTTTACCTCTGGTCCTGTGTGAGAAGGACATTTTTCTCTGTTTAAGTTACTGCTATTTTAGGACTCATACAAAATCAAACATAATCCTACCTCAAACATCACAAAAACTATCAGATACCTGGAACTTTCGAGCTCATACTCATTTGAAAGAATCAAAGTGATAAAAATTGTCTGCAATGATAATCAAACGTCTTTATTTTCCATATTTAATTTCTTACAGTCATTTTGGAAAAATAGTTGTGTCTCCAAATATACTTTCACACTGAAGGAAGCTGGTCTGACCAAAGCATTATTTGAGTCATTATGGAAAAAATATTTATTACTGAAAAACAAACGTTCCATTCAGTTTACATTTTACACATACTTAAGACAAGCATAAAGGAAAGATGCAATGTCGGAAATAGAGGCCATTCTCATTCACTGAAACACTAGCTCAAAAGAGTCTTTGGCAATTAGAGATCCAAATTTGAGAGATTTTTAATTCTATTCAAAATAAAGTTTGCCTAAAGATGTGGAGACGCACAACATTTTCTGAAAATATTTTTTGAGGAATGTCTTTTTATCTTTGTTGTTTGGTATTCTTTTACACATTTTGAAGTTTATTTAACACAGCATTCTATCTGCTTAACATTCAAATTTAGAAACAGTGATTATCTTCTCCACTCTTCTGAATAGTTAAGTATACTCTATAAATAACACATCAATTTTGCTTTATTACTACCCTTCCAAAAAGCTTCATATAACTGAATTAACCTACTCTTTACTTATCATTAAATATATTTTTGTTAGAAAGAATACACAGCATATGAAATTACAGGATTCTCATGAATTAAGGACAAATTTAAGAACTCTGAAATAATATTTACAGTGTAAACATCACAGTTATTACAATAAAATAAATCACAACATTCACAACACAATATATTTTATTTGGTTTTGATATTGAAGTTGTTTTCTTGAATTACTTATGTAGAACTCAAAATAGAATTACTTCACCTATCATTTTCCTTCAAGAATTCTGAAAAAGAAAGAATTAGTGTTTTAAACATAAAAATATTTTTATTTACAGCATCTTAATTTCATTCATTTATCCACTCATTTGATACCATCTACTTCTCTTGCCACTTATCAACAGCCTGTGATGGGATCATGGTCTGAGATAACAAGAGGGCGGCTTCCAAAGAACTGATTGCCAGAAAGGGCACTGGAATGTGAAGGGCTCTCTACTCAGTCATTAATAATTACCCATTTGTAATTTTCACACATGGTTGACCCACAAGATTTCCTGTCAAAAGAATTTGTCCAAAGCCACCCATTCAAAAAAGAAAAGAAAACAAGAGAGGATGGAATCTCATAAATGATCTTGCATTGTACAAAAACAGAGTGATTAATCCTTCTTTACATTTTAACGTCTCTTGTTTCTTAATTTAATAGAGAAAATTTCTTCTTATAAACTTTTCAAGAAGCTGTATATGATTAACTTTCTTCTTTGAGCAAAGAGACTTGTTTCTCTGAAATATCTATTCTTGATAAGGAATGGGCATGTGCAGCACTCCTGACCATGTATCTCTCTTAGAGGTGAAGGGGTAATCAGTGGATGAAAGGAAACAGTTGGGCAGGTGTCTTTCCAAACACCCTATCTGTTCTTGATGACTCTCATGAAAACCTTAGACACTCACTCCAGGAACTGAAGGAAGACCATGAATTGCCTTCAGTCTGAGCACAAGCCTAGTTTAATCTCCTTGACCTAGTCAGAGGTTATCGTTCAGCTTACCTTCAGGTTTTACAAATCAAATTTTATTGTAACACAGCTGCTCACATTCGTTTTATGTATTACCTGTGGCTGCTTTCATGCTACAGTAGCACAACTGAGCAGCTGTAACAGAAACCATACAGCCCACAAAGTCAAAAATATTTACTCTGTAGCCCTTTGGAGGAAAAATTTGCCAACCTCTGATACAGTGATATAAAATTTCTCTAATCACTTGCCAAGTATTGTAAATATATTTTATGAGCTAATATAAACATTGATGTAACTCAGGCAAGAAACATATCTTGTATCCATGTATACGTAAAAGTAATTGTGATAAGCTTATTACTTAACAAAGGAAAATATCTATCCGTGTTTTCTCTATTCAAAAAATATTTTACTCCAGTAGGTACTATTGGAGCCATAGTACCTACACTCATTTTGTAGGTAAAATAAGCAAAATTTGACCTCTGCTGCAGAAGTTTGCTGTGTTTCAAGGGCTACAGTTAGACTTAGGGAACTTTGATATTTTTACAATAACGAGCCATGCTGTAATCTTGTGGTATTTTCCTGTACTGAAATTAAGTGAGGTGCTAACAGTCAATCGTGGAATCAAACCTTAAATTAATAAAAGCAGCATGACTTGATTCTTAAAAAGAAAGCCAGTTTCCCTCATTAGTGTGAGTCAGTCTCCTCTGTTTTACATCTTGACAGGAGGATAGGAACAAGTCTGAATAAACTAGGAGTTTCCAAACTGTTTACTTTCTCTTTTATGTGATCAGAACATTGCATGAATAATTTAAGCTGTATACTGGCTTGGGGTTCAATTCAGGTAGAAACTTCCTTCTTAGATGAGTCTCATTGTAAGAACTCTAAGATGTTTCTTACCAAGTGATTCTTATCTACTTAAATAATTAGATAATTGCTCTAAGAATACAGCAGGAATGCACAGATATACCCACCACTGGGAAGTTGTCAGCAGCTTTGCTCCAAAGAGCTTTTTCATTATTTTTCTAACTCTTCAAGGAAGTCAGGAGATTCTCCCTCACTGCTGCAGGCCAGAAAAAGAAAATTACACATGTTAAGGCTCTTAGATGAGAAAACCTCTAAAGAAATGAGGACCTATGACCTATGATGTTCTCTGTATTCTGTAAAGTGCTCTGGGGACTAAACAATCATCTTTGAGGTTAGTTATTACCTATCAATTGTTCTTCAATCTTAAAATGTCTAAAATTATCCTTACAGACTTACAATCTGGTGGGCAAAGAGAGTTATCTTGTCTGATCTCACCCAAACAAGATTGTCCTTAAAACTCACCATCTAAACAAAAATAATTGAGATAAAAAGAGAGAGCACTCCACTTCCTATTTATTGTGCTGCAATATTTATATGCCATAAAGAGACATAGGTTTTATAGAATCTGAGAAGACAAAAGAACTTATGGCTTAATTTGGTAAAATAAGAGTATTGAATATGCATATGAAGGGAGTTCCATGTGATACCAATTGCTAATTGACTGCACTTTACATGTCTTAAAAATCAGCACTTTTGATAAAACCTGTTCCCAGATTCAGACTAGATGTCTCTACAGTCATCACTTTTAATCCTGGAGGCACAGTAGGATCAACTGGGGAGCTCTTTAAAAATACCAATGTCTAGAGCCATACTCCTAGAGGCTCTAATTTCCTGGCAATTGGTTTTGGGTAAGCCCCAGACATCAGTATTTTTAAAATTCTCCCAGGTTGTCTAATGTCAGGCAAGGTTGAGAATTACTGCTTCACACAGTATAAATAGATAGTGAGATAGAGAGGTAGATAAGTGTCCATATGCAGCTACTATTTTGAAAGTCATTTATAATTTCTCATTTTAGGAAGTTCTCTATTTCTTTACCTCCTTTTCCCGTTCAGAATTGAGTTCAAGTATTTCTTTACAGCCATTTGTTTTCGAAGGCGGGTATAGTTGTCAGTGAAGACGGCATCTGAGTGGCGTTTGATTGGTCCCTGGTCTTCTGAGATGTTATTGCTAAGGAGTGTGAGGAAAAGAAAATCAAAGAATTTTAACAAGAAATGACAAATATGCCAAAATTCCAAATTTCTTGGAGTCAGATAAAAATTCCAACACTCAACTCATTTTCTATCACAAAAATAGTAAAAGAAAAATACATCTAAACTTCAGGATGGGGGAGCAGGGAATAATCCAACAAATTTTGGCATTTACTAGGAGTGCCTTAAGACACATTCTGTACTACCTGAGAAAATAATTTATCCAAAAGAAAGGTGGGGGGAGGGAATATTTGAAGCTGTGTTCTGCCATTGAGAGGGAAATTTCTTTAAAAATAAATGCTCTTTAGAAGCTATGCCACCGTGAACAGTACCATCAAAACATTCAGCTATTGGCCATTTAAAGACAGAATCTTCCAATGCTTGGTTTGAGCAGGAAGTAAAAAGCAAGTAACTATGGTTAACCTCAAAATTTGCTTCATTTATACTATGTCTTATTTATTTTTACTGTCTAGTTCAACTTGATTGCAGATTTATAAATGATTGGTACTTAAGAAAAAAAGTGTGCCTGGAGGCAGGGAGTATGATACTACTAAAAAGTCTTTTTCCTTAATCCATGAGTAGAATATACTTTATTGAAGAATATAAATTATTTCTAACCATGTTGAACATTATCAAGAGTTATCAATTTTGAACAAAGCAAATAAATTCTAGACAGTGAAAATATAATTTGCAGATTAAATAATCATAACATGTTTGATAAAAATAATAAATTCTCCTTACCTAACTCGTTTTCCAATAAGGGACTCAAGGTATTTTTTGGCAGAAATTTGACCCAAGAGTCTACTAAAGTCACTGGTGAAAACTCCATCCGCATGCCTGGTGTTCCTAAAACAAGGAGGAAAGGATAACCATTATTTTGTGAATGGTTTTCTAAAAATATTATTTGGCTCATTAAATTAGAAAGAAACGTATCAGCTTATTGTGAAAGCTTCTCATGCAAATTTAAGTCCAAATGAAGTTTTCCTAACAACCTAATAAGTCACTTATATCACGACATTTCCTACAGTTCTAGCCCAAAACTTTGAAAAATTAAAGAAATTAGCTTTTTAAGTAGTCTACCCCAATATTAAATAATGCTCCCTGGTAGAATCTATAAAACTAATTCATCTCTAGGAAATATTGGTGGGAAAAATAGATTTAATTAGTTTTATTTATTTATCTTTTTTTGTGGGGCTTTATTTCTTCTACCCTGAATAAAGATATATACAAGGGGAAACTATCCTGATTTCAGCAATAAACCCATTATATATTTTGCTATTCCTTCTGCCAAAATATATGGAAACAAAATCTCTTAAGATAGAGAGGATCTTAGGGCCTACCAACCAACTTTTCCAGCCAGGGGAGGAACCTTTTAAACTTTGTCTTCAGTACAGAGCTGCTGTATCTGCACTTGAATGCTGCTCTAGACAAATGGTTCTGCGAATGAATAGCTTTTATTATTAGAGACTTTTTCTTTACATAGAGATGAAATTCTTGCCTTAGAATTCCCTCCATCATGGAGTCCTAAATGCTGTGGTCTTACTAGAATTGGTACAATTTCTGATGTTGAAATTTTGTGCAACAGAACATAAGGGGATGATTTGTTCATCCTGGCTTGTCACAACCTCTCTACGTGAAAATCATGTACAGCTGCAAGAGCTGCAATAAACCAGCTTCAATAAATCAGGCCGGATGAAGCCATGATACCTGGAGACCTGTAGTGTTATACTGAGCTTCATGGCGACACAAAAATAAAACATTTATATTTAAAAAATATATTTCCTAAAATACAACTCGATGAAAATCAACTCACCTGGATACATCATAGTAGGGTTTGTCATTTTCAGCTAACACATTTTGCAAGATGTCAGTGTCTGCTTTTAGTGAAACTTGATCAGGTTCATTTGCTTCTTCAAATGATATTCTGTCACCCAACCTACTAGGAAAAAATGCGGTAGAAGTATAATACAGTTCTTTCTCAGAAAACAGTGTTTATGGTGTTACAGCCATTTGAACAAGATATTCAACAACTTGGGATTCTATGGTTTATGAGTGTATAAATAGTGAAATTTTTTATTATCCCATAAAATAGATGCCATACAACTTTTCCAAGCTCTAAGTGCCAAGCATAAGAGCTACTTAATTCAATCCTATCAGAGCATTAAGTGAAGTACACTTTTTGATAGTATCTTCATTTTGCAAAGTTAAATTTTATGGGTAGAAAGATTTTATACAAAACAGAAACCCAAAATTTTTTAATAGTCGATATTAAAACTGGGAGCAATTCATGTATTTGTTGATGTTTAGTATCAATTGTCTCAAACATTTCTCCAGAGCTGAGTATCAACTGCTTTTCTTTCTCTAGGTCTCTAAGCTTTGCTTCAAAGATTCACCTTGGTGTGATATATTTCTCTGTATTAATCAAGTCCAAAGAACTTTTCCCTGGGAACTTCTGCTTCCTAATCTTATGTATTAACACAATTTTAGTCAGGAATGCACAATGCTTTACCAGAAGACTAAGAGCAGTCATGCCTACACATAGAATATGATTATATTTGTGAATGCATGCACATTTTGAACACCAGCACACTAAGAAAATTATGAATGCATATTTTTCACTGTTAGGGTAAAACTCCAAGGAGTGTGTTGGCTCCTGGGCCCTTGTATATCTTTTGGTGCTGTAGCAGTAGATGGTCAGTAACAATCAGTTCTCCTTGTATGAAGCCTAGCAATCAATGCAAACTTCAGCATTCTTGTGATCATTGGTCTATTGTGATATAACCATTCAGATAGAATCATTCTATTTAGTTAGCAAAGCAACATAAGATCTGGCTTTAAGCAGATTTCAAAGAGAACACTAACAGCTAAGAGATTATTCACTCTATTGAGCATAAGTCTACCTTGAGCAAAGAATCAGGAATGGGAAAATAAACAAAGAAATGATGCTTTTGCCCTTAGATATAATGGTGTTTGTAAACCAGAAAACTAAAAACCATAAAGCTAACGTCATTATCACTTGCTGTTTATTTCTTTAGCATAAATCTATTTAATTTCAGATAAACCTTTAAATATGAGTTGCGTTATACTACATGAACTTGAAATATGAAATACAACATAGAGAACAGTAAAACTAAGGATGTATGGTTAAAATAAAGTACATTAAAATTCATTCATTGGGAGAGGGTGTCTCAGTAGATCAATTATAAGAACAATTTTTAATACTGGCAAATTGATTCTGCCTAGATAGATAGATCTGTTCAACATGATTTTCTACATGTTTCACTAATCAACTACTAATCTTATGATTATTTTCTGATTGATCTTGAAAATGAACTAAAATGAGATAGGCAACTAAACATCTACTTTTCCATCAGAAACTGAACTGAACTCAGATAATAATAGATAAAAGCTTATAATTTATCTAAAACTGGTTTTGAATGAAAGGAAAGTCAAATCCTCCCCTGCCTTGTTTGGAAGTGTGACCCACCCTATTTATAAAACCAATGATTGACACAGTACCTCATCCTGAGAGTGAATTCTGGGATCCAGAATAATCACATTGACAATGTTGAAAAAATTCACATAACACATCAACCAAAATATTTAGATAAATAATATATAATTTTAAAAAGTGAGTTGTCCCAGATAACATATAGAACATTCCCATATAGCTGAAGAAGGAATGTTTAACTGTCTGAAATGAAAGAGAACTTACCTCAGAGCAGAAGGTGCTCCAAAAAGAGGCCATGCCAATGTTTGTGAGAAGAGCATACTACAAAGTGTCAGGAGCACGAGGAGCTGAGGCTTACTTCTGATTTCCATCTCTGCTCCTCAAAAGGGAGAGAATCATATCAGTTTTTCCAACCACATATGTCACCAGCAAGGTAATTCTGACTGTCTAGCAGTAATTTCTAAAGGCTCTTGGAGAATTTGGAAAAAGTAATTTTCATCTTATAGAAAAAGTTAAATTGCAATATGATTGCTTTTAAAATCGAGAAGATTTTTCTTGACTACAAATGCTTAAATAAAAATTAGGATACTTCTCAACTGCTGCCTACCTCTCGCCAGGCACATAGTTGGCTCAGGTATATATTGAATGCCGTACTTTTATAGTGCTGGAAATAAGTGGGGACAATCTCCTTGTAACAAAGTTGTAGAATTCAGGTTTAGTATCTTTTCTAACTGAGGAAACAGCTTCAAAAAACTGATTGTTTCTTCTACTTTAAGTTTTTGCATCTGAGTATACATGTATATATCTATCAGTGAAAAAATTATTTTGTATATACATTTATTTTTCCTCTTTTGATTGTAGATATTACTGGGAACCTTTTTCTCTAAGCCTGGGTTTGAACAACTTAACTAATTAGTGAAAATTAATACAAAAAATCATTGAAAAACATATTACCACTGAGATAGTTTTTGCCGTAAAAGGGAATTATATTCAAAACAAAGCTTGTGTTTTTTTACATCTAATCCACTTACACATTTCATTTCTAACTAATTTCTAGATAGAAATTTAGGAGTTCAAGGTCTGTTTCTCTTGCTGTCTAGAGAAATCAACATTCTGTACAGCATTTAAACTTAAAATAAAGAAGAAAATAAATGCTTCCTAGGTTCACGTAACCAATACATAAGAAGAAAAGCACTGAAAAGCAAGTTGAAAACTTCAAAAACAAAAGTATTCACTAAACTCTTCAGTCAAAAATTTATACAGAAGCAAAAAACCCTACTTGTAAAGAATATTTAAAAAAAAAAAAACAGTATTGAGTAAAAAAGTAAGCAAAGAAAGCATCTTCCAGGCACAAGAATGCAGAAAATCCATTGACACGTGAGAAGTTGAGGCATTTCTATACTTACCAGGTGACTTGAGAAACTTGTCTTTTTGTTGTTGTAAAGGAGGAACACTGTCAAATTCTTTTCAACAGAGAGTAAAATTTAATACCCTGAGAAAAGGCCTAGAGGCAGGGAGAGAAAAATAAGGAAGAAAGACAATGTTTTCACTTACCTTGCCAAGTAACGCTCCTCCGGAGCTCTCAGTTCCGGAGACTATTGGAGCTGTCTCAGGTGCTGAAGTCCTGTGAGGCCGAGAAAGGCTCCACCAGCTTCCTGCCCTTAGAACTGAACCAGAATTTGATACTGGCTAAGGGCTGGCTATTATTGCCAGCGACTGCTTTTCACTCTACCCTGACCAGCATTTCAAAACCCATCATTTTATAGGGCTTATGCTTAGGGCTGAGCAATCACCAAGCGCCCTGAAAGACGTCACAGTAGTACTCCCACGGGATGAATAGGGCTCGAAGTTCTTTTTTAATTGTCATTATGTCTGATTTATATAAGTTTATAGTGAGTAACTTCATGATGTAAGATACAAAGAGGAAATTTACTGTTCTTTAAGCAAAAAAAAAGTACCAAGCATAACATGAAATGTTTTAATCTTTAATTAGTAGCAATGAAAGAAGAGAATGATTAGTGTAATAGCCAGGGCCACTGGGGTTCCTTCAGAAAATAAGAATTTTATGTGCAGCAAGAGATGCAGAAAGCAAGAAACACTTAGGTTCATCATGCTTACAAATATATAATTCTCCTTTATTACAAAGCACCAATTCTCCTAAAGCCTTTTTTATTTTTATGCTATTCGTGTAGATCTTGATTTAGTGTTTCTTGAGATCTATGCTAATTTTAAAAGCATCTAGAAATAATTTTCCATTTTTCTATTCTTACATTTCCTTTATGTTGAAACTAATCCCAGGATAAAAGTTTCAGAAAGGCTCTAAGATAGTATAATATGCACACTGTTGTAAAATGTAGTAGCAATATTGGTATTTCACATTTGTATCAAATCTCATAGTGCCCAATGCACTTTCACATACATGATCTCAAACGATCCAAAAATAAATTATCACACCATATATTTCAAGATTCATTGTTTCTTCCTTTTTAAAAGTTATATTCATCATTTTTATAAGTCCTTGCATTGTGTAAAATTATTTCATTTCTCTCATCCCATTCCCAAACACACACCCACACCCACTCCAGCTTTTGAACATTTCCAACTCAATCACTTGACAGGTGTTTTTAAACAAATAGTTGGAAAACATTTATGGAGCACTTTGATAATTTTTATTTGTGATTTTTAACTCAAAGTAGCCTAGTATACATTCAATCAGAGTTTAAGGTAAAAATTCAGCCACATGGACTACTTCATGGACAACCAAATAAAATGCTATCCTTGCTTTTATTTTAAAAAATTTTCATGTGTGCATTCTTTTACAATTTTCTTCATAAGTTCCCCAAGGGAGAACTGCTCCAAAGTCCCCCTTTTTCCTTCTACTTTAAGATTTCAGTATCTATCTGCTTCATTCAAAGTCAGACTGATCCAGCAAAAGAATATCCTGCTATGCTTAATCACATTTTCTAATTCAGTTACAAAAAAAAATTAAATGAATTAAATTTCAAAATGTCTGGAAATTTGTTTTCCAGTTGACAGCTCTGACTTAAGCCAGAGCTTCTGTGGCTTAATTCCAGGAAATCTTTTTTACCTGATTATTACAAACTAAAGATTGAAATGGTTCTCATATGGAATTTTTTTATCCTTAGCTCTTTGTCACCCAATTCTCAGTGAAGCAATTTCATTTAAGAACAGTAACAGCAAAGTAAGTTGATTGAGAGTCACAGAAAAGCCACTGCTGAATGATAAGCAGAAAAATCTAAAAGAAAAGAGGCATAAAAATGGACTGTTATTTGGTCTAAGGAAGCACTTCGCATTCACAAAAAGTAAGTATAGTAGATTTTTCCAATGGTAAAGACAGTTTCATAATAAAAAATGTAAAAGCAAAGAGAAATAATTCAGTTTTATTATCTCTGAATAGAAGTAAACTATATCAAAGAACTGCATTTTTTTCCTATGAATTTAAACTAGAAGGCAAAACTGAATTTCAAAATGGGATCATAGCACCATCTGCAGGTTCAAAATCTTAATTCACAGATTTGTTGTTTTTAAATGTGTTTTTTCTCTTTTCTTTCAAGGAAATGGATGTAAACCAGAGGCCCTTTAACCAGCTAAATTACAGATGCTTCCAGGAAAATAAACATAAGGAAAAAAACACTGTTGCTGAATTTATCCTGAATACTTTGTTACTATAAAATTCAGTAAATACAAAAATACAAATGCAAATTTATTGTTTAAATCTGCTTTTTTCCTACTTTACACATATTTCCATAATTTTCCGACATGCCTGGCAAAATTTATTTCCTACCTTAAGTTTTCCCAGAAAAGTGGTGTTTATAATAATAAGAATCATCATTCATTCATACAGCTAAAACAAACCTCCAAGATTCTTCTTTTACAAATGGGTAAGCTCTTGTCCAGAGAGTTTAAGTAATTTTTGAAAGATTACTCAGATGGCCAATAACAAATATAGGAGTGAAAGTTAGGTCTTCTGGTCCTGATCTAGCTTTCTTTCTGTTAAGAACTGGTGATTTTCTGTAACTGTTATTATCATCATTATTGATGCTAACAGATCAGATAGGCAAAACAAAAGCCCATAAAAACATTGGCATCTCCTCTCTCCTTTTGTCATCAACAGGATCAAGGGCAGAAAAATAAGGCCGGCATTCTAAACCAAACATACTGAGTGTAGGCAAGTCAGATGGAAAGGATTTTCAAGCTCAGGAGATAAGCAGAAATCCAGATTCACCCTTTTTGCCTTGGTGCAGAGAACCAACAAAGGGTCCATGTAGCTATGAGGGATGATAGGCCACTGCTGTGCTCTTCCATCTCTTGGGGTGACAGCTTAGCCTGCCTAACTCACACTCAGCCCTGAGACCTATCCACTCTCTGCCAGGGTAATCCTGAACAGTTAGGTCTAGATGAGAGATCTGCAATCTGCTGGTTGTGAGCCATGGATAACTCACCCCTCTGGTTTTTACATCTCTCAAGCTAAGAATGATGTTAACTTTTTACAGGCTGAAAAAAATTAGAAGAAAAATAATGTTTTGTACAGTGAAAATTATATGAAACAAATTTCAGTGTCCGTAAAGTTTTATTGGAACTTGTAAATGCTCATTATACATATTTCGTCTACAGCTGCTTTTTCGCTACAATGACCAAGTAGAATAGCTGTGACAAAGACTGCACAGGCCACAAAGCCTAAAATGTTTACTATTTGGCCCTTCACAGAAAAGCTTTGTCAACATCTGGTCTAAAGCCTCCCATTTGGGAAGATATTTAAGAAGCCATGTTTACCTTGATATTCTTGAGTCCTGTAGCTTTCAGTAACTTGCATTAGAAAATATATAGGGGCCAGCCCCATGGCCGCATGGTTAAGTTCCCGCGCTCTGCTTTGGCAGCCCAGGGTTTCGCTGTTTTGGATCCTGGGCGCCGACATGGCACAACTTGCAAGGCCACGCTGAGGCGGCGTCCCATGTGCCACAACTAGAAGGACCCACAACTAAAAAATATACAACTACGTACTGGGGGGACTTGGGGAGAAAAAGGAGAAAAAAAAAAAGATTGGCAATAGTTGTTAGCTCTGGTGCCAATCTTTAAAAAAAACAAAAGAAAAAATATGTATGTGTATATATGCATATATATATACTTTTAATATGTGTTATGTATAATATATGTGTATCTATGTGTAATATGCATGTGATATATACATCTAACATACATGTATACTTTTAATATTAAAGGAATGCTCAACATCATTAGCTATCAAGGAAATGCAAATCAAAACTACAATGAGGTATCACCTCACTCCGGTCAGAATGGCTATAATTAACAAGACAGGAGACAACAAATGTTGGAGAGGGTGTGGAGAGAAGGGAACCCTTGTTCACTGCTGGTGGGAGTGCAAACTGGTGCAACCGCTATGGAAAGCAGTATGGAGTATCCTCAGAAAATTCAGGATAGATCTACCATATGATCCAGCTATCCCACTGCTGGGTATTTATCCAAAGAACTTGAAAACACAAAGGCGTAAAGATACTTGCACCCCTGTGTTCATTGCAGCATTATTCACAATAGCCAAGACTTGGAAGCAACCTAGGTGTCCATCAAGGGATGAATGGATAAAGAAGATGTGGTATATATACACAATGGAATACTACTCAGCCATAAGAAATGACGAAATCCGGCCATTTGTGACAACATGGATGGACCCTGAGGATATTATGCTGAGTGAAATAAGTCAGAGGGAGAAAGTCAAATACCGTATGATCTCACTCATAAGTGGAAGATAAAAACAACGACAAACAAACACATAGCATTGGAGATTGGATTGGTAGTTACCATAGGGGAAGGGGGGAGGAGAGAGGACAAAAGGGGGTGATTAAGCTCACATGTGAGGGGATGGACTATAATTAGTTTTCGGGTGGTGAACATGATGTAATCTACACAGAATTCAAAATATATTATGATGTACATCCGAAAATAAATAAATGAAGAAAAAATAAAAAAATAAAAGTATGTGTATACATATACAATATTTGCACTGTATATTAAAATAATTAAAAGAATATATATTTAAGCATATATATTAAAAGTGCACATATTTTTTAAAGTATATATAGAAACAAAATTTGGATTTACTTCTAGGATTCTTGTTTTCTCATAATAGTGTTTTGTTGAAAACAATGTTACAAGAAACACCAATTTTTCCTTTAAAATTCATTCTTAAGTCTGGAAATATGTTAACGAATATTAAGCAATTGAACACATAATGATCTAAATTATGTAAATGAGGACAACAGCTCCCTTAACTCCAGAACATCATGACCTATCTCACTTACTGATGATGAGAATTCTATATAAAATTATTCCTTTGTTTCAGAATTGTCTCGTTTTAAACCGAAAAACACACAGAAAAGATAATGTATTAAGTGCTGTGAGTTATTTATATCTAATTAGAGTTGTATTTATCGCATAATTTTATGAAAGTAGATTTTGGAGGGAAGGTTGTGCAGAAATCACAAGATCACAAAATTCTGGGATACAAGAGTTTAAAAATAAAGTGTTAAAATTTAAGAACAAATTTCATCTATTTCACAATGTCATCTGTTACACGTGTCCCCCTCCCACCATACGCACATTCCATGTAACCAGCCTTTAACTCAATGATCCCTCCTACTCGGAGATCAGAATACATAAGGGCAATGAGGAGAGGGGGAGGTTACTTACCAGGGGAGGAAATGGAAAACAGCATGTCTGATCCCTGGCT